TGGGCGCACGACCGAACACATCCACGATATCAATCGTACAGTGTCCCACGGCTTGCCTAGACGTTTGCAATTTCTGCGATGCCCGTAATATCTATCTATCCATCTATCTATCTATCTATTTTCGATTTGTGTATCTATCTGATTATTTTTATCTATCTATCTCTTTATTTATCAAGCTATCTATTCAGCTATCTCGCCGTCTATCTACCTATCTATCTATCTATCTATCTATCAAACTATGTATCTATTTAGCTATCTCTCCGTCTATCTACCTATGTATCTATCTGTCTATTTATCTGCCTATCTATCTATTTAGCTATCTCTCCGTCTGTCTACTTAGCTATCTCTCCGTCTTTCTACCCATCTATCTATCTATCTATCCATCTATCTATCTATCTATCTATTGTCCCGACCAGCATAACCGGCATCGCCAACGTCTGGTCCAATTTTGATCACTTTTCAAAAAACATTGAAAAGCACAGCATTTCTAGGAGAAACGTGCGCCCCCCCCAAGCCAAAACTTAGGATTTATCTAGCCGGATTCCTTGCGATGTTTACACGAGCCCACGCAACGCCCTCGGCACCTCCGGTGCGGGCGGATTTTTGGTGGGGCCCTCTTCACTCTCCGGGCATCAGAAACTCTGAGGGCAGTGGGCCCGTTCCTCGTGGCCAGTTGGGGAGCTCGGAGGGATTAGGGGCAGGGTCGACACCCGTGGGTGGGCAAGCTGAGCTAGGCAGTGCACTCAGCTGCTCCGACCTCTCCGTGGCGGGGAAGGCTCCTTCACTGTTTGTAGCAGGGAGGCACTCGAAGGACAGTCACTGAAGTAACCGCCTTCCTGTGCCGTGTTGGGGGTGCTGTAGCGGGGCTGTCGACAGGAGTCCCAAGCCGCAGAATTTTGTGAAGCCTTAGCTGTGAGGTTTTGCGTTTCCAATGTTTGAGCAAGCGTTCCTTGCAGGAACTTTGTGTTTCGAGAGCTTTCGAGAGCAGAGCTCATGGAATGCACAATGTTTGGAAGCTTTGTGAACAGAAGTTTTTGTAACTTTTGTAGTGTGAATGTTTCTTGAACAGTTTTGTGCATGTTTGAGTGCGTTTAAGTTCGACACTTTCAGTGTCTCGCGTGGGAAGAGCTTGTATGCAGGAATACTTCATAGCCTTTTGTACTTTACTTTGGCTCAAGGCCCAGAGAGTGCGCGTAAAAGTGGTGCGCGTGCTTTTGCGTTGCTTGTGAGCTGTTGCAGGTGCTTTTGCTTTGTGTTCAGGACGTTTGTGATCTACTTACTTAAGGTGGTAGGTTTTTCAGGTCCTGGTCCATCGTAAACAAGGCAGTTCTGGGGATTCTGTATGGTGTTGCAAATTCTGGTTGGTCTTTGCATGGTCCTCCTGTCTTCCTGTGGAGCTTCTATTCACAAAGAGCTGGGGAGGGAAGATGAGGACGGGGCTGGGGAGGGAAGATGGAGAGAGCGAGAGACGGGAGGTGCATGGGTGGGGGCAGGCGCCTTGATTTCCTACAGCCAAAGCCCATGTGCTCTCATCAGCTTTGTCCCGTAAAAGGCCCGACTCCAATATTTGTTAGCAGGGAAAGGCACAGAGAGGATGAAACTCAAGCAGTGTTTGACATGTCTTGCAGCACCGACACTGTACTTGGTACAGTATGGTGATTTGAAATGCGGACAATATGGGTATCATCACAGCTGGAAACAAGCTTTGCACATCCAAGAGCTTTCTAGGATCAACTGCAAAGCAGTAGATGCGGAAGACGAGCAGGATCTCAGATCGCTAATTGAGCTTCAGTATAACTTTAGTTTCGCTAATTCAAGCTTTTTGAACGCTTGTCCAGGCGACTTTGTGGCTCCTGGAAGCCACGCATGAGTGCATCAGGTTGCGTGCGCTTCATGGTACTCACAGTAGAAAACGCAGCACGTTCATGCAGAAGAGAGATAAGCGGCTGCAGAGAACTAGCAGAATCGTGCATCTCGCCTCAAAATGCAACAAACAGAATGCTCTCACCTCTCTTGGCAAGTCTTTTGCAGACACTTGTGACTTGTGGAGACCACGAGATTGTGCAGCCGGCTGTTGCCTTAGCCACTAGCAATCAGGACTGGCTTTGAGGTAGTGATATTGCACTTGATGTACGCAGGAAGCCACCACGAAATTTTGCAGCCAAAACTACAGTTCTCTCCTCAGCTTTGTGCCCTAAAAGCTCCCACTCAGCGGCAACTCCAATAAAGTATATATTTGGTAGCCGGGATAGCTGAACTGGAGAAAGCTGTGAGGAAGATATTTCTTTGGTGCAAAGGGGCTGCAAAATTGAAGGCTTTTGTGGTGCCAGCATGATTTGTAATGAGGATTGTTACGGATTGCTGGCTTTGTTCAGGTTCTTCCGGACTATTCTCCGATGAATGTCTCGACTTTCATCAACCCACGACATGTACATCAACCGCTGTACCTGTAGCTGATCGATTTCGCCTGTTTAAACGGATTCTCAATCTGGAGCCTCCTTTTCAAATGCCGTGAGAACTCATTGTGGCTTTCACGCTGCAGGGTTTTCCTGATGGTCAGACCCTGCCATAGTCTTGAGATGTCTTGAGCCTTGATGATTCTTTGGAAGTGGTTGATAGAAATGTCCAAGTGCGGCCCTGGAAGTTTGATTGACACTTGCGCTGCTGATGGCAACGCGTGCCTTTTTCAGGTGTCTTTTCTTTTTTCTCCGAAAGGCCCAGTGCCGTGCTTCGTTAGCACGCAGGTGTGAAGCATGGCGTGGGTGAAGCATCTGAAATTGGTCCAGAAAGGGCCTGGAACCACTTCCCTGGAACAACTTCCCTGCAACTACTTCCCTGGTCCAGAAAGAGCTGATCATCAGAAGGGACACTTTACTCGAGGTTCACAGACCGAGCTCAGCTCCCTTGGCTTGAGCTGCAGTGTGGCGCCATGGCTACTTGAGCTGCTGAAGGGGACGCTCCGCAGAACTGAGCATGAGGCAAATGAACCGATGTCGGTAAGACATGGGCATTTATAAGATCCCATCTCTTTGTCCAGTCCATGTGTGAAGACGATCTTGGCAGCAAATTACCATTGCTTAGCTTCAAATTACCTTTACGAACGTCGAGCTCTATGCTTCTTCTCGAAATACCATCCCTTGAAAGGTTGCGCTGTCAGCGCTGTCAGCGGCTCAACATGTCGGATGTGAAACAAACACCACGTCGGCCAGGCTAGTCCGTACGTACAAAAGCACGCAAAAGCTTTGAATTTGATACCTCAAGACTTGAAGCTTGAAAACCCAAACCAGGCAGAACAACATTTTTAGAAGCAACAAACCACTTGTCTTTTGGCACATCACCTGGGCGATTCGAGGATTTGAAACAGGTTGGAGCAGAACATGGCCCTTAAACAATGTTATATACAGCGAGATTGTCAGATTGTCTCGTTTTAGGGACGTTTAGCAGTCAAATCCCTTCCAGACCAAGGCTGGCAGCTGGCTGTGCGCACCAAAAGAGTTAGTTCATCCTAGAATTTCTGCTTTCTGCTCGGGATCTTGATGACTCTTCGGTGCAGTTTCCATTTCGGGTAGGAGCAACCTGAGATCAACTTCTCAACCATTAAACACATCAAAATCCGCCTGGCCACTGTCCATCGACCCTGGAATGCTTGGCAGACTCGAAAGGATCTTCCACTGCAACACCCAGTTATTTTACGGTCCATTCAGCCAAGGATGTGTGGCCAGGTGGTGAACGGGGGTTTCTTTGCTTAGGCTAAGATCCGGAAGTTGAGTGGTGTCCAGCTGCGCCGCACTGAAGCCCACGTTCATGGGTTTCTTCCAAGGCATGCAGCTACGCTGACTAGGATGAGTGCGCAAAACGCCCATTTCACAAGGGCGAGAAGGACAAGAGGCCCCCTCAAGTGCCAGGCATTGCCGCAATCCAAGCATCTGATGCTCCTCAGAGTGGTGACACCAGAGACCACAGTGTCATTGCACCCAAATGCTTTTCGCCTGGTCTGCTGCGCTGCTTGCTCACGCACGCCGACCGTCCGCTCGCTGGCGCTCGCGCTCGGAGGGACGTTGAGACGCGCCTGGAAGGTCTTGAGGGACCGGAGATAGCACTGTGGCAGCTTGAAAATGGTACAGAGATGAGGGACAGCGAGCGGAGGACAGGTTCCATCCTCAACAGATTCGTTGGCTGTCCTTTGCTTAAGAGTATGGCACCAAATTTCCAAACTTGAGGCAGATGCCGCTGTTGAGAATATTGACACAGACATAGACCTCCCCAAGCCACATAGCCCCACACCTTTCCGACAGCGTTGCGCCCCCCCCACTCCTTGGCCTAAGTCGTCTTGCAAAAGGCCTTAGTTGTTGAAGGTCGTGAGAGGCGTGAGGTTTCTTACCCGTCAGACCGGCTGTTCGCAGCCGGTCCATTGGTGACTCTGCAGACTTGGAGAAGTTTATATCCCAATGTCGTTTAGGCAGCTTGAAGTCCCATGTCCAAAGACGCGCAGCTGTAATGCGTGCAATGCCTTGTCTGGAGGGACCAAATCAAGCAGACTGCATGTAGTTGGTTGGCTTTGGCTCGTCTTGGAGGCAAGTGGAACTTCAGAGAACAAGAATTGGTAGCGAAGACGAAGGGACCCTTGAGATCACAGATCTTCAGAACTTCGCAGACCTTCGTCTTCACGTGTTCAACCGACCCAAGAGACGTGTTCAGTTCACGTGTTGAGAACATGTCAAAACATGTCTTCATGATCGCATGGCCGCTTCGTGGATTTGACTTTTGTCGCAACGTTTGAGCCTTGAACCCGGTCCCTTGGATGTGTGAAAACGGTGCGCGCGTCGTTCGTGCATGGGCGGTGGCGGCTTTCTTGTGGTAGCGGAGCATTTGGTTCGATCCAGGTCGTTGGCTACGGTGGCTGGGCTTGGGCCGAGGTTGATTTTGTGGGGTACATCCAAGGACCGGGGACTTCATGAGTTCCTACTACAATGCCTTTCAAACTTGGACGGTGAGACCAGGTTCGTCGGTGGAGTATTCGGATGACCAGTGGGATCACTGGGAAGGGGGTGCCGAAGCTTCGGAGTCGGATGGTGGTGCATGGAGGTCATGGCGTGACGATGACCAGGGCAGTGAACGACAGGTGGATGCAAGTGGCTTGACAGAGTCATCTAGGAACTCATGGTGGCAATCATCGGGGTGGTCAAGGGCATCTTGGGACACGTCCTCATTGGGTAGCAATGAGAATTGGGTGTATGTGAACAGCAGGAGTGACTCGTGGCATGGGGATCGACGGTCTCGAGGGCATCGGGGTGATGGTCGAGATTGGGGTGGTGCGCATGGGGAACAAGGTGAACGTGATAGTAAAGTAAGCGGTGAAGATGGTGATCTTTCTCATCCTTCTTGTGGGTCAGGCGGTGAAGATGAGGGTCAAGGTCGGTTACCATCCGGCAAGGTGACGTCCGTGCACGAGCGGGCTGACAAGGACGACCAGCGTCGTTCTTCAGGAAAGATCTCCAGCACCTACCCCCCCGGTCTTCAAGGCCAAGCAGGGTGAGAACTATCGCGACTGGAAACGTGCAGTCCGTTTCTGGTTGAAGGGAGAGGGTCAACAGCTCCCCACCGATCTGGTGGGTCCCCGGGTGATGGTGCAGTTGCGTGAACGTGCAGCGCAACTAGTCAAGCACCTAGAGCCTGAAGATGTCGATGGTCCCTCCGGCCTCCAGTTGATTTTCGACACCCTTGAAGCCAGTCCCTTGTTGAGGCAACATGAGAAACATCGAGTGGACTGGCATCGGAAGCGTCTCTTGAGCTTGACAAGGGTGGCCGGGGAAAGCTTAGAATCCTACATCACTCGGGCGGGGCTTTATCGACAACAACTTGAAGGGCTCGATTCTTCACTTTCCATGGGTGAGAGGTTTTTCGTAGGCCACCTATTGGATCATGCGCGCCTCACTCGCAAGGACCGGGCCATGGTCAAAACTCATGCTGGATCGGAGACGGAAGCCTCCATTACTACGGCCATGATAGAATTGGCCGGTGAATTGGAAGGAGAATCTGGCTATCCGATTGGGCAGTCAGAGCCACAGCTTGGAGGATCTCAAGGTGAAGAACACCTCATTCAGAGGGGTGTCATGGGCTATCGCTTCCAGAACACCGGCAAGGGCAAGGGCGCTTATGTGGCTGAACCCTTTGAGGATGACTATAACTCCGTGATGGACGGCATTCCGGAGGAACCGGCCGGTGAGGAGAGTGCAGAAGAAGGTGAAGTGCCCTTGGATGTTCTTCACGCAGAGCATGAGGCGCTCGCCTTGCAGTTTCGAGCACGACAGAAGTTCGCGGAAGTCAAGAAACTCAGAAACTTCTTCCGCAAAGATAAAGATCCAGAGGAGCGTCGTCGACAACTACAAGAGCGCATGAAGAATAGCCCATGCCACAATTGTGGCGAGTTGGGACATTGGAGCCGGGAGTGTCCAAAGGCCAAGACCAACCCGACCAATCAGGTTTTGATGACATCCACGGCCAAGTCCACTCCATCGGAAAGCGATCGCGAGTGGGCTCTGTTGGAGTCTTTGTGTGTGGGCAAAGCGCCCAAACAATCTGTGTCTCGCGAGGTCTATATGGTGCTGCCGCAGCTGGCTTCGGGAGGGGCTCACTCACCACGTCATCAAACTGATGGCCATACTACTCAGGTCATTCCCTATGAAACATGGTGGAGTTTGGAGGAGTTGTCCAAGTGTGTCATTTTAGATTTGGGGTGCATGCGAAATGTGGTGGGTGTCTCTTGGGCCAATGAGGTGGTGAAGGAGTGGGAGCAATCCAAGCGGTGGTTCTCGGTGATCCCTGAGGAGGAGACCTTTCGCTTTGGGGATGGCAACACACTACAAAGTAAGTATCGACTTCAACTGGAGGCGACTTTTGGTGGTCGGTTGGTGGTCCTCGCCTTCAGTGTCGTCGCGGGTCAGTGTCCTCCACTTCTTTCGAAGCAATCTCACACTTTGATGGGCATCGTTTTGGATTGTGGCAAACATGTGGTAAGTTCACGTAAACTTCAGATCAAAGACTATGGTCTACGCCAGACGGTTGGCGGACACTATGTCATGAAAATTGATGAGTTTGACAAATTGCAACCGACCGTCGTTCGTGTGCCGGATCACTTCACTATGGGGGTGAATGAGGAGGTGACTTTCATTTCTGATCTTGCCGCTGAAGCATTTGGCTCCAATTGGGCGCCGGAGAACCTTCACGCTGATCCTCGCGTTCATGGCGGCCAATCCTCCATGGTGCAAGATTTGCCAGACCGTGGGCCACCACACTCGCCTATGTCCGAACATGTCAGACGGGGGCGAGAGCTTCACTATGAGCTGGGATGCCGTCGAGGTTCAGCGACTTCACCAACTCGAGGTCGAGGAGGAGATCAAGATGCAAGATCCACGGGATGTGAATCGAAAGAAGACATCTCCATCCAAAGGGGATCCAACAGCCCTTCATCTGATGGAGGGAGGCACTCCGCCACCTTCTCGGGGACGAAGGACAGCAGGGGCGTCCAGTTCCACGGCCCACCAGACAGACGAGATGGTCACCGCGGCTGGACTCACAACCGAGGAGATGGCGATCATCACCAAACGAAGGGAGAAGCAAGCTGCTTCCAAGGCAAAGGTGAAGGAGACCAAGGCGCTGACGGGAATCCGGGCCGACTATCCGTCCTTGAGCAATGCCTGGAGCGAGGACCCGGTGATCAATGTCATGTGCAGCGTGCAGAGTCGCTTGAGGACCTTCATTTGGAAGAAGTTTGTGTGGCTGCTCCGGGTGAGGAACGCCATCCACATCGAGTCGAAGGGCAAAGCAGCGTGGAGGCGCAACCATCGATGGCTGGCGATGCTGTTCTCCAAGGAGATTGCTGCTCTATGGGGTCACTTCGGGGCGATGCGACAGAAGATGGTGCGCGATCCTCAGCTTCGCATGTGAAAAAGGTGAGGCCCCAACGGGGCCTGATCCAGCGTTTGAAGAAGGGGTGCGAGGCAGTCAGGGGGCAGATCGACGCACTTCATGCGGTCTGCAGGGAGTCAGGGGACTATTTGATCCTCGAGCTCTTTGCTGGCACGGCGAGATTGACGAAAATGGCGGCAGCCCGGAAGGGATGGTCGGCAATGGATCCAGTAGAAGTGCAGCTGGGATGTGATGTCCGTGAGAAGCAGGTGAGGAAAGACATCTTGGCTCTCATCAGGGCGAAGCAACCCGACTTGATCACCATCTCTCCGCCTTGTGGTCCTTGGTGTCAATTCCAACGCCTGGCCAAGGACGTCCATCAGGTGCTGATGAAGCAGGAGGAGGACCTTGTTTTTTGGCACTTCACGGCGGAGGTATGGTCCGAGCAGAACAAGCATGGTCGTTTGGTCTTGACGGAACAACCGTGGCAAAGTGAGGCTTTGAAACTCACCTTCATGGAAGAGCGCAAGGACCTTCATCGGGCCAAGATATCCCAGTGCGCTTTGGGGCTGGTGGATGTCGCCTCCGGCAGACCGCATTGGAAACTCACTGCATTGGATGTCAATGACCCGCTCATGAAGGACTATATGGAACCACGAGCTCTTTGTCGGCATGCCCCTGGCGAACACCAGACAGTTGAAGGACATGTGTATTGGCAAGGTGGGTGGTGGAAGCGATCCACTTTGGCGGCTCGATGGCCATCCGGTCTTTGTGAGCTCATCCTGGAGGCGGCCGAACATGTCTGGCGTGTGAGAAAGGAGCAACAGCAGCCACTTCGATCGCTGGCTATGCCGGGAGCGGCGGGGGAACACTACGCCTTGCCTGTGGAACCAACCCCGACCGTGGAAGGTGAGGTCCGCCGTCAGTTGGGCAAGGCTGATTGGACGGGCAATCAGTATGACTACATCTACTTTGAAGGTGAGGCGAGACAGGCTCCCTATCGGCTGCGACAGTCCTTGGGTCATCTACATGTGGTGCTGGGCCATCCGTCCAAAGAGCGGTTGATGAGGATGCTCATGGTGAGTGGCTCCAACGCGAACATTGTCAAGGTGGCTCAAGGCCTTCATTGTCAAGTATGTGAGGCTGTTCGACCACCAGCGGCGGAACCCAAGGTCTCGGGCAATAGGGTCACGAAGTTTGGAGAGAAGATCCTGTCGGATTCTTTTTACGTGTGGGACATCGAAGGGGTCCGCTACAATGTGACCCACATCCTTGACAGCCTCACTGAGTACCACATGGGCATCGTCAGCCAAAATCCATCTGCTGAGGTGACGGCTGAACTTCTCCAGAATCGCTGGTGTGGGGTCTTCGGGCCGCCAGAGCTTCTACAGACTGATGCTGGCAAAGAGTATGAAGATGTGGTCCAACGGATTTCGCGGCTGTTGGATTTCCGACATGAAGTCGTGCCTCCTGGCGCCAAATGGCGACAAGGACAAGTGGAGAGGCATGGTGGCATAGTCAAACTGATGATGATGCGGACCATTCACAGCACCAATGCCAAGGGGATCACAGAGGTTAAGCTCGCTGCATCCGCATGTTTCAGTGCTAAGAATCGCATGGGCAATCGGGCTGGTTTGTCTCCTATGCAGGCCGTGACTGGTCGGAACACTACCATCCCATCTTCCATTTTGGAGCAGCTGTCTTCGGGTTGCATCCGGCAAACTATCAATGCCGATTTGGATCTGAAGGACGCCTTGCGACGCAGCGAGCGCATCCGGGCAGCTGCCTGTGATTCGTTTCATTGGATTGACAGCAATGAGATCCTTCCCAAGTTGGAGCTTTTGCAAGAAGGAGCAACCGTCTATGTCCATGAGCCTCCTCCCAGTCGCCGTGGTCAGCATGCCCGCATGCAGGACTGGAGTTCGTGGGACGGGCCAGGCTTGGTGGTTTGTGTGGAGAAAGATCGAGCCGTCCCTGGCCGAGTGTGGGTTCGTCTTCGTTCCAAGGTGAAGAGCTATCCTCTGGAAAGGATCCGATTGGCAACTCCGGATGAGATGCTTGGCTCCAACTACATCGTGAACATCTTGGACGAAATGGCCATGGAGTTCAAGGAGGGCAAGATCAATGTGGATATGAGCCCTGGTGAACAGGGACCTTCGGCTCCTCCTCAGGAAGAGGAGCCCCTTCCACTGGCAGCTCCGGAGGTGCCTATGATGATCGAGGATCAGCCCAAGAGGAACACAACAGAAGAAGTGGTCCCGCCGGAGGAGGGCGAGCAGCGGGCGCAGAAGATTCGGCGCATGGAGCTGCTCAATGACCTGCCCATTAGCATCAGACAGCATCTTGGCTCGACTGGCCCTTCTTCCGCGGTGGCGCCGGCAATGCCTCCACCACCTTCTGAGGCGGCCGCCGCGATGGCTCCAGTTCCTGAAGACCTAGAATCTGACGAGGGCATGGACGGTCAGTCTCAAGGAGTGGCCTCTCAATCTCCGTTCGAGATGAACGTCAAGGAGAAGGTGAAAATGTTCGATGATTGGGCTCAAAATCGCAGATCGCGACCAACCACCTTGAACGAAGCTCAACTTCGGAGCCAACTGGAGAAGGCCGCCAGCAAGGTCCGAGACATCCGGAAGGTCATTCAGAAGAGTCGCGTTGCACAACATCGTCGAGTGAAGGGTCCTCGAAGTGAGAGAAGGGGGTCAGAACTCATGGTCTTAGAGGTGGAGGCCGACGACTTTGAGGAGGTTTGGCGTGAAGCTTGCTCACAACATCAGCTCCAAGAAAGTTTTTGGACGCAACCCACGGTGGAGGCGGAGGCGCTCAAGGAGATCCAGGAGAAGTTGGTGAGCGAGCAAGAAGAACACAAACAAGCCGGTGCTGCGGCAGAGATTGTGACGGGCAAGGCTCGCTTGGAGTATTCTTGGAGCAAGCTGGATGAACAGTGGCGTGCCGCTTTTAAGGAACCGCTTCTCAAGGCAGTTCGGGTGTACTTTGACCATGAGGCCTTGGCGGGTGTCCCTTCCGACAAATGGATAGATCCTAAAAGGATCCTCACCACCCGCTTCGTTTTGACCAACAAGGGTGGTGTCGAGCTTGCCGAGGCCGAGTTGAAAGCTCGGCTGATTCTGGGCGGTCACAAGGACCCTGATGTGGGCAAGTTCCCGACTCTCGCTCCTACGGCATCCACCCTGGCTCACAACCTTATCAATTTTGTGGCCGTTCAGCGTGGCTGGGTGGTACACTATGAAGATGTGGCGGCGGCCTTCCTTCAGGGCAAAGCTTTGCCTCCAGAGCGGGAGATCTACATTCGCATGCCACGAGGATACCCTGACTATGTGGTGGACTTCATTGGTCAGAAGCTCGGCAAGGGCATGCGCTCGGACATCCTGAAGCTTGTGAAAGGTGGTTTTGGCTTGCCAGAGTCACCGCGTCTTTGGTACCTGAACTATAAGGAGACGTTGGAGGCCTGCGGAGTTCATGAGCTACAACTTCTGCCTGGCGTCTTCGCTGCGTACCATTCCGATGGGGAGCTCCGTGCCTTGGCATGCATTCATGTGGACGACACCCGCTACTGCGGTGATGACAGCAGCAAGGAGATCTGGGAGAAAGTCCATGAGGCGCTCAACTTTGGTGGCCTTCGGAAGGCCACTGATGGGTGGGTCAAGTTCTGTGGTCGCTGGGAACGTCAAGATCCTAGCACACTGGAGTTTGAATACTCCATGGACAACTATGCCAAGGACCTTCAGAAGATGGAACGTGTCCAGACGGAAACGCTCACACCCTCCGATCGCCTTCGTATGTCCTCTGTCATTGGTCAACTCAACTGGATGGCTCGTCAGGGCCGTTACGATCTCAGTTATGGGGTTTCTCATGTGCAGCAACTGGCGGGCCGCAACGACATCACCGCTGTGGATTGGCTCAACAAGCTGATTGCTCGAGCGGGGCAGTCGTTCATTCAGCGGGTGGTCAAGCTGCCTGGTGGCTGGGACGACATGGTGGTGATCTCAGCCAGTGATGCCGCTTTCGGAGCGCAACCTGGGGGCAGCAGCCAAGGCGGTGTTGTGGTGAGCATCGCTGACAAGAACATCGTGACAGGTGAGGCTCGTTTGTGCGTGGTGGAAGCCTTCAGCTGCAAGATTCAAAGAGTGGTTCGATGCAGCATGAGTGCTGAGGTGTCTATGGCCGCCACCAGCTTCGAGCATGGCGACTACGTGCGCGCTGCCCTGAGTGAGTTGATTTTTAGGGATTTCAGGTTGAAAACCTGGAAGCTTTGGGCAAGCCGATGGCCCCATTTCTTGGTGATTGATGCCAAGACCGGATTTGATGTTCTCAACAACGACACTCAGACGAGTGATCGCAAGGTACAGATCGACTTGGCCGTTTTGAAGCAGGCCTTGACGGAGTCGAATTCAAATAGCTTCGTGAAGTGGGTTCCCGGCCGTCGCATGTTGGCCGATGCCACCACGAAATGGTATGATAATGGTTCATTGGCTCTGGCCTTGAAGGAAGGCCGTTGGTCCTTGATGGACACACAGGAGGCCATGGATCTTCGAAGATCGGCCGCTGAGCGACGTCAGGCCACGAAGCGGAAGACCATAGGGGGGAAGTGTCAAAACATGTCTTCATGATCGCATGGCCGCTTCGTGGATTTGACTTTTGTCGCAACGTTTGAGCCTTGAACCCGGTCCCTTGGATGTGTGAAAACGGTGCGCGCGTCGTTCGTGCATGGGCGGTGGCGGCTTTCTTGTGAACACCATTCCTCTGGGTTTCAGGACACAGATGGAGTGTTTTCTTGCCTCCTGTCACCTGTCTCTGAAACCGTGTGACGATCTCAGTCTGCCCCAGATCTGCCCCGGAACTGGGGTGGAGGGGATTTCGAATCAGAGCTCATCACAGATCACGCCTTTAGAGTCAGGCCATGCCAAGTCTGCTCTTTTTCCTGCTGGCAGGGCCCTCCTTGGTCGGCGTGGAGGTTCCTTTTGTTGAATGGAGTGGAAGAATCAGCAAACATGAGAGGCGTCTCACATTTACCCCTTTTCAGTTCATCAAGAGAGTCTTAAATATTCCTGTTCATCTCACTCCACCCTGAAAGAACAAAACCAATGATAGCACTTCCGTAGTCTATCACCCCTCGCAAATGGAGCTCTAGTCCTTCTGGATTGTGCCTCCCTTTTGCGTAGCTGCTTCAGAGTTGGCACCCTTTCCTTCCCACTGATAGGTTCAGGAACAACATTATAGTTCCCTTTGGTTCCCTGCACTTTGGTTAGTTCAGACCCCCCCAAGCGCATGTTTGCCCAAACTTCTTCAGTGCGTGAAGACTCTTTCGTCCGCTGCCACGACTCTTGTGAAGAGCGTCGGTCCTCTTTCGGCGCGGCCTTTCTTTGCTCGAGTTGACGTCTTGGGTTCTGACACACAAATATAATGTGTGACATAGAGCAACCTCGGTATAACCACTATGGGAAGGTCTGAAGTCTGGAGGGGTCCGTGGTTGTTTTTGCAGTTGGGTTCGGGGTCCCGGCTGCCTCCTTTGTTAGGGCCATCCAGAGTTTCCGACGGTGCCAACAGGGGAAGGCTTGAAAAGCTTCCCACACACACACACACAGCTTGTGAATCAAAAGGTCCTTAATGATACTTAAATGGTGAAGCCTGCTTAGCTTGCGTCAGCGGGATTTTTTTGGGACCTAAAACCTGGTTTTGAGGTTTTCAAGCAACTTCGCAGTTGAGTCTCAAGCTGGTGCCAAGGCCAGTGCGACCAGTGCCGGCCTGGCGCCGCATACTGGCGATCGCGGACACAGGGAGTCTGGCGGTCGGAGCGAAAAAAGGTCCGCGCAGCTGGCTTCCGTCGCATGCGGCGAATTACAAGTAAACACTGTGTGAAGTGAGTGAAGTGAGTTGACTCTGGGTTTTCTTCGAAGATGTCTCCAGTGGGGGGGCCCTTCAATCAGCTTTCAATCAGCAGCTTGGGGCCAAATCGTGGGCCCTTCTTCTTGGCCTTTGGTCCAAGCATGTCATTCCTGGTGCAGCTGTGACTCGGCTCCCGTACGTCGACCACCGGACACCGGTGCGATCAGGAGACGTGGAAAGTCATTGAAATTGGAGGTGATCACGTGGTGTTCCATGTCTATGATCTCATATGATCATTTATCAGGCATTTTTGGCCAAAGGGGGTCGAATTTGTGGCTGCTTGTATAAGATGTTTGATTGGTTGATGAGACTCGAGAGGACACACCAGTTTCCTCCACATTCTTTTTCGTGTCCAACTTCAACATGTCGCCGCACCAGAGCTGCAAATGGTGTGTTTGCAGGCGGATTTTGAAGGAATTCCGTAAACCGCCTTGGCTGGGCGGCGCAACTGTGGAGCGTTCTTGACTGCGACTCTTAGGAGCGCACAGGTGTGCGCAAAGATGGAATCCAACCTAGAAGCGATGGCCTTCCTAGAATCCGGAAGTTTTACTCCAGTCGTGTCTGTGTCGCCGCACTGGGTGGGCACCGTGCACCCAGGACTCAGAAGGGCTATATAATTCACATCTTTCTCTTTTGATGTTTTCAATATTTAAGACATTGGAGACCCCGAACAAGTGGGCACACAGGCTTATCATGTTCCAGAACTGGGAGGTCTCCTCATTTTAACATACACGTTACACATCCATGCAAAGTATTTTGGGCGTGTTTGTAAATAGGGAAAGCTCTCAGTTCAATCGAGTGGAAGAAGAACACTGCAAACCAAGAACCATGTACGTCCTTTTTTCTTATTGTGACCTTTTCTTAGGATAACTGACTCGAAAGGGCTTCAGCTGGAAGGGAGGAAGGAGATACAACGAGGGCTTTACGGCTTTGTTACTGTATATACATTGTTGTTTGGAATCCAACACCAGGGTTCTTTCGAGGAGTCTTTTCCATAATCCATGGAAACCCTGAAAACAGGCCCCAGAACAGGTGCCCACACCTCTTTCGTGGGACACCTTCCTTGGCTCGGCCGAGGGCGGCTGGAGCTGCAGCGAACCCCGCCTACTACTTCGGTGCCTCAGGGGTCTCTGCTTTGGCCTTCTTCCCTCTCTGGAAGGCTCGGGCCCCGCGTTTTCGTTGTTGTTGTTGTTGTGGTTGTGGTTGTGGTTGTTGTTGTTGTTGTTGTTGTTGTTGTTTTCTGGTGAGATGTAGCTGGCTTTGGTGGGAGTGTCGAAGTGTCGCGCAGTCGAAGAGAAGGACAAGCTCTCTGTCCAGGGGCTTGGGAGGGGCATTTTGTGGAAATGATGTTGAAGTGATATGTTGGGGTGCTGTTCCATGTCGGGTCGGGGATGCTGAGAACATCCACTCACGTAAAGGGTCTAGAGACCCACTCGTTTGGAATTCCTGGGGCACTGTCATTTTTCTCCGCGGGGTTTAGAGTTTCTGTCCAAGTACCTCCAAACGTTCCGCCATGCAGGCGGCCGCCATTGGCCAATCTGGCTACAAGGCCGTGCGCCGTACACGGTATCCAAGTCCTTGATCCTTCCAAGTCCGCCACTGTCAGACTGACGCACTTGGTAGTTCATGACAGAGCTTCTCTTTTCCCATGTCCAGCGATGTCCAGCGTTTCTTCCATCGCGCGTCAGACCCAAACGAAGCACGTCGCGTTGCGTCCGTTCTCGCGTCAGACCTGAAACGGCCGTTCCGGATCTCCGATCGGTCAGGCGGGTTGTTAGACATGTCGAAGCTGTGGCACCAGGTGGAAGGAAGCGGATATTGGCAGAAGTACTTTGAGGCCATGAAGCCCCCATGGAGAGGCGTGGCGCCGGCAGCTGCGGTGACGGCGACGGAGTCTCGAGTCGGCCGCGTAGAGTGCGACCGAGTCTCGAGTCCTCCACACCTTTTTTGGGGATCGTTCTGGCGTGTCTCCTATGGATTGGTTGCAGTTTTGTTGGGGAGTAGCAACTCGGTGTTGTACCTTTTTGATTTAACAGGTATGTTTGCTTGACATGAGCTAGCATATTTTCCAAGTCAACATGAACACCAAGATGTGTTGAATATGCTGGCGAAAGGAGTGCCAGCTGGTGTATGCCGGTGTCCAGCTCAAAGACATAGTACAGTCTAGTTCAGTTTCGGGAAACGTTTTCGATAATTACAGATGTTAAGCCAAGATGCATGCAACTGCCAAAAGGAAAAGAGTCAGACCAATATCAGTGAGACAATATTGGTCAAACAAAAAGGATTCAGAAAGGCATGTGGGTGAAGTGAGCGTCACTGTGACACTGAGAGATGTCCATCAAGAGACATAGGCACTGAAACACGGATAATTCAATCAGGGGCTAAACAGAGCACAGGGGAACAGTGTTTCCTGGAAGGTGCTAGTGGTGGTAGTGGTGATGCTGTTCTAATTCCGCATTTTACATAGCTTTCACAGACTCAAACCTCGGTCCATGTTGCCTGACAGCTACGAGCCACTACCCATATCGTGATTTTGCTGGATTTTGGCTCCATTGTGGGTGCTCTGACTGGTTTGGTTTCAGAATCCATGCTTCCATGGACTATAGGCTCGGGGCAATGCTAAGACCACCCTCCACATCCAACATCCTCACACACCCAGACTTTCTCTGTGAGCATCTTAGGGAGGTGCCGCATTGGCTCTAAATGTTTGCTGAAGCTCTGAATATCTCGGACTATGTTCGTGTTACTCAGGGTCACTTGTGTGTGGGTCATGCTGGATTTGGTGCCTGCCCGGCATTTCCTCAGGCAGGAGACACCCGACACCCGACACCCGAATCTAGGCTGCAGGTGCCATGCTGCCATGATGGATATAAAAGCAGATCTCCTCAAGAGAACCTCTAGCAGTGTGGCTCGTAATCGATCTGCAACACAACACCGCCAGGCTCTTTGGTCGTGATCGGCCCGGATCCTCAGGTGCTTTCTTGATTGACAGCAGAACATGGCATCAAACTTGAAGGCGAACGTGTTGGGACCATCAACAGTGCCCAGAGAGTCACAGCAGCCACAGTGTCCCGCATGGCCAGATAGATTTTCTCGCTGAAGGGATCACAGCCCCGTCATGGTTGATAGATTATGATATAGATTTCTTCTGAAGGAAATCCTGCGCCAGCCCCAAAATGTCACACATATTGCTGCGGCTTTCACCCTCTCAGCCCTCTCAAATAGTTTTTGCTTCTTCCATCAACACACCTTTGCTGAATGGTCTTGATTCTCAAATTTTGGATGTTTCAAGACAATCCAAGAAGATCCATTTCTATCAGGGTTTATTCATGGAGACTTCTTCTATGACTGAGCGGCCTCACGTGTAAGTATACGTATGTATACGTCACATATTTGCAATGCAGTTAGTCGCTTTATTCGTCGAACGCCCTGAACACCACCTCAAACCACTTCTTGTTTACTTCTTGTTCCGTGCCCTTCCCGTTGCAGAAACGAAACGGTTTTGAGGTGGCATGACCTGGGCACGTGCGGCCATTTTCTATGGCTCTGACACAGGTGGGTCCTGGGCCGGACAGGGACCGGGCAAGAACTGTTTTGGAATCTGCAAGGTGGTCCTAAGAGTGGTCACAAGGGGTGGAAAAGAAATCGTTAAGTGGGGTCTCACACTATGAGACTTGAATTGCAAAAGGACACTTCTTCTTTCTTGCTGACGTGTCCTTTACATGTATAGTTTCTTGTTTGCAGAACTTCTCAGATAGAGCTCAGAACATTTCACTTGAGAAAGGGAAGGGTGATTGAAAGTTAGATCCCCTCTCCAAATCGTGAAAGTTCACGCGCTCACAGGCTGACCACATACCACTTGTCTCCAATTTCTTGTTTGCATTCCAGTGCTCTGCTGTCATTCGACAGAATTCTTGTCGAGGCTCCAAATGGATGCGAAAGGAGGCAGAAACCCGTGCACTCATCGCGAGTGTATTCCTTGTGAGTGCTTGTGTCATCCTGTATCTTTTGGTAGGTTGTCCTTGTGCAGCTGTCGTTCATGTAAACCAAGAGCCACTTAAAAGGATGGTCCAGCCCTGAAACGATTCTTCTACCCAAACCTCCAATTCAGCACTAGCACTGGCACTGGGATTTTTCTTTGTCGGAGTTTGTTGCAATAGCAGATCCAAGTTGATAGCCAGAAACTTTCAGTTGGAGCCAAAGCAATTGTGCTTGGACCAGTTTGATGCAAGCCTTTTCTGACTCTACACAGGTGAGGTTCAGAGGTCGGAGATAAAGCCACTCCTGCCCAGTTTTGAATGCCTAACATTCTAAAAGAAGAAGTCGCATGGACCTGGTTTGACATTGACGTTTCCTCCATCTTCCATGCTGTAGGGTAGACTTTGGGCAAAAGCCTGGAATCTCAATGCACCGGTCCCCGGTTTGTTTGGCCTCTTCTGCGGCCTCTGAATCAACACATCCTCAACCGCCCAGGGCTACTCCACTGCGCTGGCCTCCACCGTGCCGTCCCTCTTGGTGTCCTGCTTCGCACAGGCGGTGCCCGATGCCGCGAAGCTTCGGGGCTTCGGATGGCCTGGACTCATGGGGATGGATGGATCCTGCAAAGACCTCCAGATGAAGCGTCGATGCTCGGGGATTTATGAACACGGGAAAAGCGGTGGTGGAAAAGCAGCAGTTTGGCTTCGGCGAGTGGTTTGTCTCACTCAGTCCTTGTCTGTCAAATCTTGCTGGAAACTGTGAACCCATTTTCCAATGCGGCACGAAAGGTTGAAACTGATTTTGCCATGAGTGGGACGGTATTTTTGAGAGTTGAAATCTTGCCTCTTCGCCGAACCGAACCAACTGGACAGCACACACTCCGATGGATTCAGATAGTGCAGCTCTTCCCTGAGGGCTGAAGGTGAAAGACAGGTGATGACAGGTGCTGCAGTTCCAAAATGTTCCAAGAGAAGGATATTTTCACCGCTCTGTGTCACCCCAAAATCTGAAATGCAAGTCTGGTAGGTCACTGTTGTGAAAAGATTGCCTGGAATGACTTGGACATGTTCCTAGTATGATAGAGTCTGATAGAGGCATATGCTCACGCTCGCAGCTCCTTGGCTTACTCCAGGGCCATCACGAATTTCACCCAGCACTCTTAAAGGGTTGCTCATCCAGATACCCATGTGCACTTCAGAAAACTCCAAAGAGCCAAAAACGGGGTACTGGGCCTGGTGGGACCGGTCGCGTCGAGAGGCCGTGAACCAACCCTTCGTGCGCTCCTCCATCATGCTGCAGAAGCCCGGCGAGGCACCGATGTATGGAGAGCTTGCGAAGTCGCGAAGTCGCGCGAAACTGGTCCAGTAGAACGTGTGAAGGGGCGAGAAACAGGTGGGGTGCACGGGGGGGGGTTCAAGTGGGAAGAAATGAATGATTCAACGGCCTAAGCGACCTACTTTCCAGCCCCATAGGTCTTAAAAGAACCCTAGAAGAACTTAAAGAAGACCACATTTTGACTTTGGTAACCACTTAGGTCTATCCAAATCCTATTCAGGTTTCTCTCTATCCAGCTTGGATAGACGAGGATCTCCCAAGAAGCTTACATAGATACATTTACTTTATAAACCAAATTGGCTGATCATGGTCGTCTTTGGTCGGCTACTCATTTCTCTGGACTGCGTCCGTCGCTGTCCTCTGCGCCGCTCCGCCTGTCCGCCAGGAGTTGGCCAAGGCCACCTTCCCCAACATGACCATGTTGAGGCGCAAAAGCGAACCGGTGGACCCACTGAAAGGGTCGTCTTGTCGTTTTTTGGAAGGAAGGTTAGAGGTCTGGGCTAAAGAAATCTTGGGATGTTCTCTCCATCTCAGAGAGTGCAGGATTACAAGCCTCGACAGACTAGAATTATATAGGCCTAGGCCTTCTGCCATGGTGCGTTGCCAGGCATCTTGCTCACACCAAGGGCTTTGGCTCCTGGTTCACCGGCTTCTTGGCAGCACCAAGCACTTAATGTGGATGTGACGCAAGAAAATAGCATCGTAAGAACATCTTCCAAGAAGTCGGTACCCGACAGTCGACACCAGCCGTGCGTTTTCTTCGGCCATGATCCACCTATCTCCCTCGCCACATCACGCGAGCTCGCGCCGCTGATCCAACGTGCGAGGTTTGGATGCTGCCATCTTGAAGACCGCGCCAAAGTACATGACGGTGGCGCAGGGTGTGGGGTATGTGGTGATCCAAGTCCAACTGTATGAATGGTGGAGTGGCAGGTACTACATGGTAAACTCAAAGCATTTGAATGTTTGAAGCATTTCCAAGCCCTGGCCCATTTTGCTGCCTGGGGAAGGGTCATGTCTTGCGTCATGTCTTGCGTACGCCACATTGCACATCTTGGGTTCTCCAAGCAGACTTGCGTCTCCAAGCAGGGTTTACTTTCATTTGAAGTGAACACAGGAGTTCTGTAGAGCCATGTTCTTTCCAGGGTTCAGAACCTCCCGTTCTCAGGACTTCAGGACTTCATTTCGTCAGCCGAACCGTCGCGCCGAACCTCGTCGCCTTCCAGGCCGTGCTGATCAAGGACTACATGGGCCTCTGGTTGGCTCCCGTGGACCCCAAGGACAAGCAGGCGACGACGAAGAGTACATCAGCCGGAGTCTTCCCGAGTTGTCCAGAGTCTTCCGACCTGCGGCAGAACGCACCGGGTGTACTGGCATTTTTTTGGGCGACCAGGTAACCTTGTTACTAGTAGCGTCCGAACGCTCCGTTCGTAGCGATGCCAGGAGCCCCTAGATGTTTGGGTCGCCAGAGTTCCATCGGTCGCCAGGGTCGCCGGTCCAGGTGTTTCGAGGATGCATACACTTTTCGGTCTCTTCTCCTGCCAACTGCCAAAACAGGGATAGACAATGAGAACAGGGTGCTTTTTGGGAGTTTTGAAACGTTTGGCGGCAGACGGACGTGAAGCGCGGACGTCCCGCCAGGCAGTTCTCCTGAAGTCCGCCAAGATTTCGGTCACTGCAGGCCGGGCACGGAGGACTCGAAGTAAGGGGAGGCAGGTGCAGATGCCTTGGTTGAATTCTAAGAAGTAAGCGTGCTTGCTTGCTTGCTTGGTTGGTTGGTCGGTCGGTCGGTTGGTTGTTTGTTTGTTTGTGACACTATCCTCAAGATTACCCAGAAACACCTTGCACATCCTTCTTGTGGAGCGGACCGGACCGCGCTCCGCGCTCCAAGCGACGACCAACCCCTTCGGGGCCATCGTGAGGCGTGGCCGGTGCGGTGCTGACCAACCCCTTGGATGTGGTGCGCAACGACTCTCGGTGCCGGAGGGTGGAAATACAGTGACACCAGTGGACACCAGGGACCGGGACTGGTCTGACTGGGTGATTGAAGAGAAAAGCCGCGGGAGTTGTAGCTGACCGGAGGTAGTTTGGAGAAGAGGTCATACTTTGAGAGACCTCATGATGAGGACATCATACCTGTCATACCCATTGCATACCCCATGAATGAAGCCTCATGAAATGACGATCCTTTTCTCATGTAAAATGCAAATTCCAAGGGATATTTTATAGACACAAGGGCCTGTATTTTGGCAAGTATTTTGGATAACTACCTAAGATCTGGAGTATCGATTTACACAGGTCATTTAATAAACTTCAGTAACTTGGAGAGTGAATAACAGGAATAGATGGCAGGTGAACCCACAAATCTCATTTTATAAGAATTCACTTGGCGAGGCCGATTCGCAATTCTCATTTCATTAATAGATATAAATTGTCTCTTCTGGATGTAGATTTCTATCTTAACCTATCATGACCTATGCTGGTCATGTTATAAACTAGTTGGCTTTTCATTTTGTAAACCAAAACACCTATCCGTCACATTTTATAAACACAAAAGGTTTCTAAAGCGAAAAACCGACCCGCCTATGAACAACCAAGGGGGGACGGCTGTAGCTGTTCGGATGAAGTGATCAGACGTCCTCCTTTGGGATCCAAGTGGCTGAGAAACGGTGTCCATTCTGTGCACGTTTGATGACAATGATGCAGCTGATGAATGGTGTGACATGGTGTGACCCCCCCTTTGCCACACTGAGGAGATGTTCAAGACTGAGGAGGGCATGGTTGCTTGCATGATGCGAATGAGCAAAGAGGACGGCAACCTCGCCGCCGGCGGCAACTTTACGTTTTAGAAGTTCACTGGAAGAATCCACTCAAATTCAGATTTCTCGAGGTGTTCATAGTTGCCTGACACTTTCATTGAAATCTTCATGCTGCCTGTTAGAGGAAGCATCATCATGTCATCTCATATCGTGGCTCTGGGTCGAATGCCGCAACCATGACTGGTGACTAGAATCGTAGCAATTTTCGATGTGGGAGTATGTTCCTATTTCTCGTTCTCTGAAGGGTTCTCCGGTTCTCCCACCTTTCCCGTGGTCAGTCGGGACCTATGTGGCTGCTGCGTGGCATTGGCAAGAACTGGGTCGCGGTGGCCGCACCCATTGCCAGCACCATCTTCCTCACCGACCGGTGCCGCGGCGCTGTGAAGGGCCAAGGGGAGCGGCAGACGGAGGGCTCTTAGGGAGCTTAGGGTTGGTGGTGTCCTCATTTTGACTACGTTGGTTCACTTGAGTGAGTACCTCGAAATTCAGGAAATCACATTTTCCAAGGGCACCGAGTTCCAGGCCAATCAACTAGGGAAAGAAAGCGACAGGTACTTCATAGATCATAGCAGGTACCTGTGTCATGTGCACCTAGGCGGCCTGTATAATCATAGACAGGTTTTCGCCTTGGACCTCACACAGGCCACTGACCTCTTCGATGAAACATGCCACTGCCCTGAGCGACGGAGTGATGCGTCCGCGGTGAAAAGCCCCGAGGGATCACACCATCCGCATAGAATTAGGAAAGACTCCTTCAGCCAGGTACGGTACCTTATATGATTATGTATGATTTAGTGTGTTTTCCGATGTGAGAAAGAACTAGACCTTCCATTCGAATTCTACGACGTGATACGGACTTCGACTCCGCCACGGACCTGGTGATACAGTTTCGGATGCCGGTCTCGTCTCGTCTCCTAAAGCCCCACCGCCAGGTTCAAGGTCTGGTTCGGCGGGGCATGAGCAGACGGGGCCGATCGGCGGTCATGAACGAGACCGATCATTTCTCCATCTTCTTCCCGGTGTCGTAAGCTGCGAGGTAGCCGAAAGAATCGTACTACTTGGTAGTTGTTTTTAGCTGGTGCGCCTTTGGGAATTCTGCAAGTATCTTCAAGCACTATCCGTTTGTCTTGGTATTTCTTTCTGTTTAAGAATGCCTTGCATAAAGACACCTGAGTGCCGCTTCGGCGCTGAATCCTGAGCCATCGTGCGTTTTGAAGACGGTCATGACTCAGGGACAACATGTCCAATTCGTGGCAGAAAAGTACTAGCCCTGACTAGATTCCTGATGCCAGCACCAGACTGCCAAAGGGCGCATAGGTTCATCTTTTTTCTAGCACAAGAATAGATAGGATGCTCAAGTAATTTCGATAAAAGATGATCAGAGACACCGATGATGACACAAAGAAGGCTGTTCAGGTGCTTTCCCGGTACGTGTTTCCCGGTACAAAAAAGAACGCCGCCATTCGGCCACGTTGAATCTGAAGCGGACCTTCACATCTTGGAGATTCGAAAGAGTGGACTGGATCTTCGGGTGGATGGGAAGAAACTCATGACCTGTGGGGATGGTGGATGGCCCCAGGACACTTCAGCTTGGGGATATGGGGAAATCTTTGGACGGAGCTGGGAAGAACATGTAGCTTCAAGCTTCGGACGATGAGCGCTTTGTGGATGTTTGGTATCAGGGCCCAAAGGCAAAAGGAACTACACCTGCATTGGTGTGTATTTCATTGTATTTCCCCTTATTTTCTTTTCAGGTGCCACTGAGGGCATGACCTAGCTGAGCGTCTCAAGTTTTGAGTCTGGACAGTGGTCAATGTGCTGCCAACAGATTGCCAACAGTTGTTGGTGAATCTGAGACCGGGCAAATGTGGAACAAACAGAGGCAGCAAGAACGGAGAAAGTTCAACCTTTGGCTGAAGCAGGGTCTCATATGTGGATTCCTTCCATTTATATAGGACTTTCCAAATGGGCAGCAGACTTTTGGCTTTGCGCTTTACAGCCATCGCCACATGGGTTGGCCTTGGCATGTTTTCCTCAGCCGCACTGGCCTGATCTATGAGCATCAAGTGCTCATCCAATCCCTCAGATACTGGGCCTGTGGCCAGACCGTGCCCACTATGCCCTGATTTTTCAACCTTTTAGGTAATTTCTCTCAGTAGCCCCCCACCTCAATTCCTAGATAAATTCGTTTGCAGCGGGCAAGGGAGACGCATAAATAGTTGGTGTGTAGTGGAGGTTCAACCCGTCATCGAGTGTCTTGAGCTTCAATTTTAACATTTTGGGGAGGGCCGGGCAATCTGGTCGCCAGGGCCACAAACCTTAGTCGCGAGTCACATGATTGAAGCAAATTGCTTCATGAGTCTCTCACTCTTTGGATCGGCAAAGAAAACGGACACTGGCTTGACCTGCTACGAACCGACGGCCGTTGAATCCGGGTCCGACCATGCGCGCGGTTGAGGTGGCTCCCAAACTCTGTACGAAACCATTTTCTGGCGCTCCGTATGGCTTGGAGATCAAGAAGTAACATCTTTGGCCGATCATCAGGGAATCAATCTTTGGGATTTGTTTTGATTGCAGAGACAACAAAGAATGTGTTTTGTTCTTCGAACAGCTCTGGAGCATATGTCGTTGATCATCATGGTGTGGTATTTCTGAAAAACAAATACCTACCCAAACGCGATTTCCGTGGCCGCCTTGTTTTCCGTGGCGAAGCCATGGAACGGCCGCTTGGCCGAGATTGGTGACCGAATGCTTTCCATCCTGGAAGGCTTTGACATGTGATTTGGACCCAAATGAACACAGAAGAACTGGAAAGTACACCACAGTTCTTCACACAGAAGAATTGGACTCTGTTTGTATATGGATGGCTGATTCTTGACACGCACACACACACACACCACCATAGAGGAAAGGATTGGGCATGCTTCTGGCAAAAAGCCGTGACGTTCCTCGGTGAAGTTCCGCTGGACGTGCGGCGGACATGTGCTTCTTCGGATGTTGGAAGTTCCGAATCCGCTGGATGTGATTTCTCTGTCCTCTGCTGAAGCAGAGGTTTGGGAAACTGGTGAAACTGGCACTGCCACTCTTGCGCTGGTGCTCTGGCGCAAGACGGGATGGTGGGTTTTGGCTTGGGGGTGGCTGAAGTTAGTGATGGTTGATAATGAAGAAGGGACATTTGTGGGAAGGGTTTATCTATGTAAGTCCAGAACTGATCATGGTGGTTGCAGCACGTTCTTTTCCTCTTCACTTTCTTTTTTCGGTTTGTTTCAACGGGTTTCTGGTCGACCGGTCGTGCGGAGACTCGCTGCGCGGTCAGAGTTCCGTTCCGGCTGACCAACAACGGCTGCAGGGAAGAAACCATGGGCAGGGGGTGCCCCTACGAACATGTCGCATCCTGGATAGGGCCCAACTTTGTAGTCATGAGATCACCAGATCTCAGATGAACGGTCCCCCGCATGTCCCATTGGTCGGGCCTCGCCATGGAGATCGTGGGTCGACCTTCATCAGCGGCGACATGGTACCACGACGTGGGATTGATACTGCCCTTGCTGCAAAAAGTGGCGAGCTGATCTTGGACATTCCATGGCTGGACATGTGTTGACGAGGTACGTCAATTTCTACATCCTCATTCTTGCGATCCTTTTGTGGTGCCCCCGGGCTGGCAGAATCACTAAGCAAGCGGCAGGTTATTGATTTCATGTAGCCTTCCCAGTAAGTAGGTTCTATAGATGTTCGATAAATCCACTTGGACTGATCCAGCCAATGTACCGGGCCCTTGCAGATGAACCCTCTGGCTGGGCATGCTTTGAAGTCTTTTTTTCTGGGTGCCCAATGCCCAAATAAATAGGCGGACACCTTTGCAAGTCATGTCTGCAGTGGATTCTACAAAGACGTCCGATTCAGAAAGGATTTGGCAGGCCAGGTTGACTCAGCAAACAAGAGCACACTGGCAGATAGGTCTTCAAAGGCATCCAAAGTCCAAACACTGTCATGTTTTGCTGTGTGAGCCCCCCCTGCCCAAGTGTCTAGTCAAGACATGTCAAGACATGCTCGTTGTCCTGCGCGCGTGTCCCATGTTTTCAGGTACAAGACCCAAGTGTTCACCTTCACCGTTGATTCCATTGCAGAGGAGGCAGGTGGACACGAACTTCCGTAGAGGGGGCCTCCCTGAACACCATGTTGCGGTTGTCCGCATCTTGCAAGGATGTCCTTTCTCAGTCCCTGGCGGGCTTGCTGCACTTGGCACCGAAACACGGCGCCCACCGAGACAGGTCGCCGTCCTGGTCTTTCTGGCCCTCTTGCTGCACTCGCGCTTGGCTTTGCTGGGCCGCGGCTACGGGAGCCCTGCGCTTGCTGTTGGTTGCTGTTGGTTGCTGTTGGTGGGCGGTGTGAGGTTTCCTGAAGAAGTAAGCTACTGGATTGACCACGGTACAAAATGCAATGTTCTGGTTCATTAAGGAGGATTGACATACCCAAGTTCGACTGAACCCTTCGAAGTTGAGGTCATCATGCGCACAGCGCCCCACGCCGTGAAGCGCAGATACACCGATAGACCGATAGACCCAGTAAGGTTGGATGCATGTTTCTTTGGATGTTTTCTTTCATGCCTCCCAGCCTTACAAGAGTATACGTGTCTGAGACTTCACAAACTTGGTCCTTCAATGCTGATCCCTTCAGGCTTCAGGTTGGATCCGAGGTGGTTTTGGCCTCACCTCTTCACAAAGAGCTCCCAACGCGCTATCCCGCTGCACGCTACTGCGCCCCGCCCAATCGCCGGCCGCCAGCTCAACCGCCGGGGGAGAGCCTGCGACCAGCGGGAAGCGGCACCGACGTCCGAAGGGATCCGAAGCGGCACGAAGGGACCTTCAGCGCCATGGCGCAGACGACGTTGATCCAAGCCTTCCAAGCCTTTACAGGTAGGGATGTGATGGAAAGACATGGGCAGCCAGGACGACTCGGGCTGGGGCGACCCAAAGGTCAATGCAGAAGGCAATTCCTTTGGGCTTGAGCGGCTTGAGCGCTTTTCGCCTGCCTCGGACCTAATTCAAACGAATCCGCAGAAGGGGGCGACGGGTCGGACGGGGCAGCGGCTGGAGGTTGGTTTTGGGTCCCATCCCAGCGAGTGGCTATTCTGCGGCACCCAGTATCCACCCTGCTGGGCACCGCAAACCATGCAAGTGGCCGGTGCATTTGATCGATTCAATGAACTTCTCTGGAGGATCCTCAACTGCTAGGGATCCCAAGAGGATTTTTTTTCCTGTGAACCCTGCTTCTCGCTGCTATACAAGAAGATACAAAAAGGAATGACTTATACTGGATGTTACTATAGATACACTAACCACATTCTGTGGTAAACACTTCTGAAGCATTCAGTCTTAGCACCACTTCCCTGCCAGGGCAACAGCAGGAGATGGACGACCGCACTTGGGTGAAATGCCTCAAGGAGCCTCCCCTTTGAATGCTTCAGCTGAGTAAAATGGGCGAAAATGGACCTTCCGGGTGCGTGACGTTCCCGGGGCTTGACCAAATATCTTCTGTTTGGAATGTTGGGGAGATTCAAACCAGATTAGGTGTTCTGACATGACACAAAACAAGGACACAAACAGCTTGCGGGACCAAAATGAAGGACCACAACGCGGGGTGTCCTGGGTGTGGCTGGACTACCCTCCACGACCCGGGATCGAGAACGGCAGACCCAGAACAGATGGTCCAGGTAGAGTAAGGCATGCAGAATAGATGCATAACATTTTCCGTTTCAATCGTGCACGAACGACGAACAAGGCCACGGAAGATTTTCTGAAGGACTAACCTACTGTCGGATCATCGTTCACCAGGGTCTTCTCTCCTACCTTCCTGTCTGACGCAGAAAAAGCCTTTCTGTGCCTTGGCAGCCTTTCGAAGGTCCGCCAGGAAGCCAGCTCTGGTGAGTGTCAGCTGGAGGAAAAGCCTCTCCAGTTCGCCGTTTCATATCTTACTTACAGATCTACAGATCTAGGCGTCCAGGACTTGCAGACTTGCATTGAAGAATCAATCAACCATCCGCCTTGGACGTCACCTCCGGGATCCACCGGTTTCACCGGACTCACCACGTCCAGACCTGGACCCGGCGTCCGTCGGCGCGTGCTCGACCGGTTGGAGGATGCGATGCTCCTGGACGAGGACTTCACCACGGTGGACGCGGATTTGATCTTCGCCCGCGTCAAGGGAAGGCCGCCACGACGTCCCCGTTTGCACGCTTCGAAGAGACCGCGATGCGAACGACGGTGTGTGCCTTGCGCCCGGGGGTGAAGCGTTCGGTGTATTTGCGATACTGCTCATTGGTGGGGATGGCTTAACCTTTGTGGAAGGTGGTGATTTTTGGTTCGCATAGGCATTAGGTGTGTCCGGTGACATTGCCTTTGGTTCATCGGCTTGTTGATGGGTTGATTTGTAATCAGAAAGGTGACCTGCAGCAGTTTTGCCACCTTTGAGACTCGAATCGACGGAGTTCTGCCGGCAGGGGAGCTCGGAAGATCGACTTCCAAACCTTCCGACGGGCCCTGGGGGAAGTGGCCAAGAAGTGGGAGAGCATGACCCAAGAGCAGGCGGCTTGGCTGACCCGTTGCCACTCCGGTGGGCGCGCGCGCGCGGGAAGCGTGGCAAGGGTGATGGAGTTAGGAACTCAAAGGAACTTGATCCAAGGAACTCGACAAAGACTGGAGGCAGTTGGAGGCACAAAGACCGAGAAGGATCTGAGTTGTGACTCTTGTGACTGGATTTTGCTTTGTGTACCTTTGTTGTGTGCTCAGCCATGGGAAGTTATCTGGGACTTGTTAGGCTGTTCGTGGGACTTTCCACTCTTCTCTTGATCCTTTGGTTTGCAACTAGAGACTACCAGGACCATCCGGAGTCCTGGCTGGACTATGACTACGCTAGAAAAACACTCTGAAGCAGGATCTCCAGACAGGACACCCATGCTCCGGATGCTTCAGGCGGCAAAAAAGAACCCAGCCTAGGACTGCCCCTTGCAGGGACTGATCAGCTGTCCAGAATCCCCCCAAGCCCTCCCGGCCGCGCCACATTGGCCGTGTCCTGGCCTCGAGGTGGAGGACGTGATTTGCCTGGCCTCCGCGCCGCACTACGAGACCACGGCGCGCCGCCGAACACGGAACATGCGGAACTGGAGGGGCCGAGAGGTGTTTTTTTTTTTTTTTTTTTTTTCGCGGAACGACCACAGAACCAGTGGAAAAAAGAGCCAGCAGCTCATGCACAAGTTCGTGCACATATCATTACAGGCAGGTTTCAAGATGGACCCGGAAAGATGATGTCTTGAGGGTGTTCCGCTGTTCCGTGTTCTTTTTTGCTTTTCGCATCTGTCGACGAGTTTTTCGTCCGAACCGGCACTGCTAGTTAGGACCCAGTTGCATGGATCGGAACGCGCGTTCGATCCGATTCTCCAAGCATGGCAAGTGCTCCGACACGCTCTTGGCAATCGGGCTGTGGGCTGGAAGAAGAAGTGACTTACCTGATCTGAAAAACCCAAAGTGCTGATTGGTCCATAGACCTCTTTTTTGGGCGTGGAAACGGGTTTCTCTGCAACGCTCTTTGCGGCTTGCTTCCCCGCCGACCACGGCTCACAGTTGACCAAGTCATCCACCATCATCCCCAAACTCCATCGGCCTCGCTTCGTTTCCTCCCATGCCGGCGCCGCCACCGGCGAATGGTCCGATGGTGAATGCTGAGTTGGACGAGAAGACCCTGCAGGAGGTAGCGCAAGAGGTGTTTCGTGATGATCGCTGGGAGGTCGCACTGAGGCTGGGAAGGGTGAATGAAGGGTAAGGATTGGATGATCATGGAGAACTGTGAGGCGAATTCATCTACTTCGAAGAACTTCGAACGAAGGGGCGATGGGTCATGAATTCAACGAGTCTTCTCAAGAAATCTGAAGGGTTCTGTGACACATCTCTGTGTGAACCGAGTCCTTCAGCGGTTGCCTGGCCTGAGAGGAACCTGGGGAGGAGGTTGAGGCCTGAGCAAGCGAAGCGTTTGCTGCAAGATGGCGCGAAGACCTATGGCTTTTGGCAGCTGCCCGATGATGCACTGGATGGGCTGGTGAGTAGCTCAGCTCAAGGACTTCATCGATGATCCAGCAGGTAGTGAGGGCTGACGCTGACAGTCTGGAGAACGCTTCCAAATCAAACACTTCTGCAAAAAAAGGAAGCCCTTCGGTGGTCGGGTCGTGGCCACTTTTTACAACGAGGCACTGTCCTTGATGGTCAACTGCAGGGAGCTAGGGAACATGGAGCATCTGGGGTTGGCCAGTGGTTGCTTTTTGTGTCTGGTTGCTCCACACCGAGAAAGGACATCTCAGAGTTGTTTCTGTATTGGTAGAACAGCCAGACAATCTTCCCCCATAGACCTACTGAACAGATATCCACCCGTCCTTGATGATCCTGGCACCACAGAACTTTGTGCGAGGTCAGTTGCTGAATCGAGAGGAGATGATGAGCCCTGGGCTGCAGCAGTGGGCTGATTCCATGGAGAAGAATGTCACTGCCGTGGTCCCCCAAAGCATCAAAGCGCCGAAGTCAGAGGCGACTGAGAAGAGCCAGAAGACTGAGACCAGTCAGGTACGAAGCGGGAGAAACGCGAAGAAACAGCCCAAGAGAGGACTCCCGAGCCAGTACGATAGAAGCAGATACAGAATGATACAGGTGGTGATTAGTGCTCCTTTCCGGAGAAGAGGATTTTTTTAGACCAAGATCAACAAGGATTCACTACGCAGCATCCTGCCGGTGGTGCTTGGGCCACATTCGCCACCCCCCCTCTCTCGATCGGGTGCGCGTCCCGTCCGCCCACTGTCTGCTGCGCCCAGCAGGTGGGAGAGCCCGTCGTGCAGCCCATGAAGACCTTCGCCACCAGTCGCTTCAGTGTCGACCTGGTGACCTTGGATGCCGCCACCTCGGGGGAGACCGGCGTGAACGTGTCGCGCTTCATTCAGGAAGAGCAGTTGCCCAAGGCAAGGACGGTGGCAATGAAGCCCTTATCTGGACTTCCTGATTGGAAGCTCAGTCTCTGACCCTGATATACGCGTTTCTTTTGTCTTCAGTCTTTCTTTGTTTATTTGTCGTGAATGAATAGTGGATGACCCCTCCACGCAAACTCTGCTGAGTCTTTTGTCCAGGCGTTCCTAAACGCGTGGACACGCGCCAGAAAGCCGAGGAAGGGGCATTTGGTGAGCCCCAACTATTTTCGCATGATTAATGGCAGTCTCCACCTCGTGGTCCTCCTTTGCTCCGCGGGCTACGCCTTGGATTTGGTGACCAGCAAGCCACCCGATCATGAATCCATCAAGTTTTGTTTTGGGCGACCCAACAGATGGAACAGAGGGCGGTTTGGTCGATCACCTGCTGCTGTAGTGGAAGGTGTCCCCAGTAAACCGACCAGAAATGGCCAGAACTGAGTTCCATATGTTCCATTCTGACCCGGGCTGGCGTCGCTCTCCACTGACGTTCAATCTGTGAAACCGAACTCTTACGACTCGGCGATTCCTTTGTTCGAGGTACCCCTTGGCGATTCCTTTGTTCAGCTGGCCCATCTTCTTTGCGCGCCTGGGGGGGATGGCCACGGCCATTTGGAGTGCCTTGTTGTTCTTGAGCATGTGCCGAAGTGTGCTGACGGTCCTGTCCAGGCCGGATCTGCCGGATCCGTCGTGTTCGAGTCTGCAGAGTCGAGTCTGCATGAGATATGCATGGATCCGACAGCCACCCATGATAATTCTGATGCATAAGCATGTTCATTGACGATCATGAATGTTTGGCCATATGGGGGACACTGCCAGGTGCTGCCCCCGGAGGGGCGCCAGCTTCTGGTTTACCTTCTTGGATTGCCACAAGGATTTGCACATTCAAGCGGGCAAGGCAGGGTTTTAGGCTTGTGTCAATGTTGTTAGATTGCATTTCATTCTCTTTCCAAGGCAGATGCTTTTAGTTCAACTGCTTTTCCACCCATTCGGCAGATCGCTGGTCCCCCCGAGCTCCTCTCTGACCAGGCTTTGGTCTTCTACTCTGCCGTGCACATTGGAGGCCATGTGATCGGCACCGTGCCGGGGGTCCTCCAGAAGAATGTCAGCGAGCTGAACCAGTTGCTGAGCTGCGCACAAGAAGACCCGCCCTACGTGGCCGACTGGGATCTGAGCTTCTTCCATTGGCCGCATTGCCCTCTCTCGGAGGAGGACGAAGACCGAAGAAGAAACATGTAATAACGGTGATGCCGGATCGAGTGAAGCCGGAGCTCCGGCATCTAAAGGTTCAATGGAGATCATTTAGGAGCAACATCCAAAAGGGTCTGTACACAAATCTTTCTGTGACACGGAACCGTTTGGATTGAAATCATGAGGGGACTCTTTGCCCATAGGTTTTTGGCTTGCGCGCGCCATGAGGCCTTTGTGCAGGTCCGGAAACGGGACGGAAACGGGTGGTTCATCATGGCCGATTCCAGGATAAGCCCATGAACTTCACGGAGGCCTTGTTTCTGACGATGCCCGGCTTCACGGGTTTCCTGCTGGTGGTGGTGCTAGCGGGCCTATTCTTGACCAGCCTTCAGAAGTTCCGCACCGAGCCTTGGGTCGACCGTCGACCGTCGACCGTTGAGAACGACGAAGTGATAAGCGGGTCAGTCGTTGTTGCAGCTCAAGACGGCTCCAAGCGAGTCAGTCTGGAGTTGTTCTAGAGTCTTTCTCCCTTAAGTTAGGCAAAAGATCGCTGAACATTGCTTGTTGTTCCACTCGTGACTTGAAACAGATGGAAAAGGGCATACGCCTTCCTTCCAAGAGAGCACATTGCCCACATTGTCTTCTTTCAACTCGGTCGGCGCCCAAAAATGTTTTCTTGGCTTCAATCAGTAACGGATGGGATGAGGCTCTATCTGGGAGTCTTTGCCTCACCCAAAGCCACTTCAAAAATGAACTCGTACGCACTATATAATACTACCTGGAAACACTGCTGTGATCGCTGGAAAGCCGTGCTTTCCCTGCTTTCCAGCAGTCCACCGCCTGCGGACCGTGCCGCGGAACGAGGAACGCTTTGAGGTCTTCTCGAAGATCCACAGCCTGGGGATCTTCTTGTGGCCGCCTTTACTCTTCCTTCATGGGTCGCAGGGATGGGTGGGAATCGGGATCCCATTGGTGAGTCTTGGTGAGGATCGGTTTCGGAGGACGTGGTCGCAGGGAAGGGCGATGAAAAAAGAAGGCAAGGCTTGGAGCTGTGGAACACAGTCGGGTGGTGGGCAGAAATGAGTGGATGTGATTGTGACTACTTGACCCATGTAGATAAAAGAATCTCACCTCACCAACAGCTAGGTTCCAGTGGTGACGAGACGTGGAAGCAAGAGCCCAGCCGCCACGTCCAACATCGGAAAGAGTTATGCCATTGACCTACTCCACTTGTCTCATTTGGAGGGTGTGTATATATTAGAAGTGGGAGACTCCCCAAAGGCCCTATTAGGATATAGGATGCAAATCATAGCGGATGAACTCATATGACCAACATCAATGGGACATCAATCAATCCGCTATATGAACTGATGACACCATGTACTTTTCTTCGTGAACTATGTTGGCTCCCTAATTGGTTGTTTTGCTCAAACATATACCAACCAATCCAGTGAGCCCACAGCCAATGCGGTGCCGACGCACCGTTTCTCATGTGAGGATCGTGGTGTGTGGCCTCCCAATCCTCCTCTACACCCTCACACGATTGGCTCGGTTGCTCCGCTACTACCTGAATGCTCGCACAGTGCGGATCTTGAGAGCTGTGGTCCGCCCAGGGCAAGAGGAGAGCGAGCTGCAGAGAGTTGCAACAGTCATGAGCTTGGCTCTTTGATGCTCTTTGCTAGTTTCTTAAGCATGTTCCTCCACACTTTCTTTGTCCTTTTTCCTTCTACTCTACTCATTTAGCTGGCGCCAAAAGACATCCGTCCGTCGGTCTGCATTGAAAATTACGCACGAATGTTCCTGACTACGTCGGGTGTTGGGCTGCAATGCGGTCAGCAGTTTTTCCAGGTTGCTTGGCCCTTTGGGCAGTTGCTTTGGGTCCCTTTGGGTCTATGCTTCGGGTGTTTCAGCTTTAGTTGAGCTTTTTGGTTTCAGCTGCCTCCGGGACCTCCAGGCTGAAACAACATCACCTGTTGCGTGATAACAATGGTCAAGCTTCCCAAAACGGTGGTGTTGGTCATGAAAGCAACAGGAGCTCGTCTTCGCTTATCCAAAAAATGGGAGATTGGAACACGTTAAAATCGAACAGTTGTGGAAAATGTTCAGATAGCCCGATTTCCAATCCAAAAGCTTGCTAGGTACCTCTACCCTTTCTGCTCGGCCGCTGAGCGTCAGGAGCCCGTGGACGGTGCTTTGGTGCAATTGGAGCTTTCGCGTCCCAAATGCCTCTGGCAGTGGAAGAGGAATGCTGGCATCTTGGTTTCTGTGAGGACTCATCGACCACACCACGAGGGCCCTGACTGGGTCTTTCCAACATGTCTCCGGCACACAGCTTTTCTCCCCCCCGACTTCGTTCCGCAAAGATCGGTCGAAACGTCTGTCAGAGCCTTTTGAAGCTGTAACATTTTATTTATCAGAGCCTGTCTGTCAGAAACTGTTAGTATATGTTTTGGCGGAGCCCGGTGGAGGCATGTATGCGTTCATTTGCATGCCGGAGTATGCACCGCTGCAGTGGCATCCCATGACCATCACGTCCGGCAACGAAGATGAAACGGTGAATTTCCTCATCGCGGGCATCGGCGATTGGACGCAGGATCGTGAAGCGATCGCTTTCTCGGCGTTTCGGGGAGACCGTTGGGACGGAGAAGCTGTTGGATTGTACCTCATTTGTGATATTAAGTTATATCTCAAACATAAACAATCACCCCAAAACGAAAAGGAGATGACATGTCCATGTGTGTACTTTTGTTGTACTCCCATCCATGTACTTTAATGTACTTCATACCCTCATCTTTCGGTTCAAGCTACTCGTACCCCTTCGCTGTTTCGTTTGTGTCATGACGACCGTCGTCATGGAGTGAAGCGTGGTCCGATCGCGACCGATCGAAGCACCATGTCCGATCACCCACGGTTTGTATGACAGAAGTTCATGTTGTTTCTCCACCAAAAAACCGTTGATGGACAAAACATGAAGAACTGAAGGATACTGCGAGGAAAAACTGCCACCCATAGAGCAAAAGGGTTCCCACCTGGTGACCCGTGCAACATGTTCCTATCCATCGATCTCCCGATGGACTCGGCGGGAGGAATTGGCCCGACGCTGCTTAAGCGGGAAGCTGCCACGTTTAGCCTTGGATGGGCCCTTCACTGCACCCACTCAGTCGGCCCTGGAGATGCTCGGAGAGGATCCTTTTGACCAGAAGAGGCCTTTCTCTTTTGATCTCTTTTGGTGGTGCTGGGTTGGTAGCCAATTGAAAGGGCCCTTTGCTTCCCTTTTCACGATCTGGTTTGGTTCATCTTTGGGGATGGAAGATGAGTCCGAGTCCCCATGGCCCCCGAACTCCGCGAAATCCGTGAGGAAGCGCGTCTTGGTGGCCGTGGGCGCCGGGGTCGGTGTGACTCCCTTCATCTCGCTGCTCTCTACACTGGTGGCTGAGCTGGTGTCGGAATCCAAGCAGCACCGCCTCGTCAAGGTGGAGGGGGTCACGTAGTCGATGTCAACGAGGGGTCACGCAGGGTGGGCTCACGGCTCGGCACCTTCCTCGACGATACATGAGGTGTTTTCGAGGTGTGTTCTGCAAAAATGTGTGACACCATGTGGTCTTTGCACAGAATCTTTGATGGAGTTTAGTTTGATTGGTATGACTGTCACAGCGCGCCTGGCTGCCCAAAGCGGCGGGTTCCGGGTTTCACAAGGGGTATGCTGCTTCCAGGGACACCCTTTCTGATTGTTCGAGCAGTTTGACTGAGCATGGACTTCGGATTCCACTGCACTTACTCTAATTACTGGTTCACATGTATTTTGCCGTGCTTAGTTTTTGGGGATCTCCCAATCTCTGAGAACTACCAAATGACTGCTGACGTCCTTAGAGTCTAGACGTCCCCGACAGCTGGTGTGATTCAAGCGCACCTGCTGGGAGGCTCACTTCTATTGGATGACCCGAGACCCAATGGAGTTCGTCTTCGCTTGGCAGATTCTGCGGAAATGGTTGCGGCAGGACATCCTTCAGTCGAAGATCTTTGTCCACCTCTATACTACAGCCAGGCCAAGTGGAACAGAAAACTTTGGAACTTGTCATAACAAGAAGCTACGAACGTAACAAGGGCATTGCCACTAGTAACAAGGGCATCGCGGCATCGTTCGGCTAGGCTATGTTCGCTACTTCGTTCGGCCACGTAAGCGGTCAACGTCTTTAGCATGGGAGTCCGGTCCATCCCATGGGAGTCCTCGCAAGCAGAAGCTTCTTAAACCTCCCATGGACTTCGATCCCGTGAACGGTGAACGGCTCGACTTCTTTCGTCCACCTGCCAGGGATCCCAAGCAGAATTTGTCCGCCTTCCTCTTCAAGGAAGCCGTGAAGAGGCAGTGCTTGGTGGATCGAAGGCACTTCAGGAGATGAACCGTTTCGTCACTTCATTCGCCCAACCGAAACGCTTCCTTCGCTGGTTCTTCTTGGACGAAAACGTGGTTTTTGAGGGGTATTTTGGTAAAAGAGCCTTGGACTGACATCAAACTGACCATTGACCATCAGCCTTGCCCACACATGAAAACCATTATGAAACGTGAATAGTTGATTTGGATGAACATGCATGTTTTTACTTTTACATACATATTCAGATTCATACACATGTCACATGTTGTTGATGGATCTTAGATGTTTTCGGCATCTCCCAGGAGCTCCCTGGCCCAGTGGCTGGAACAACAAGAGGTGCAAACTCCTGGACCGCAGTTCCCCTGGGCCTGGGCCGAAGGCTGGGTCGAGCCGAGGGAGAAGAGCTTGAGGAAAGCGATTCACTGTGTCAGCTATTGAAGGAAGTGCATTACATACACAATATATTTGTTGGGACGTGCTGATGTTGTGATATTCCCGGTGTTCGAATCTTTGGCTTGGAATTCCTTTTTCTCGTGCAGAGGCTCTTCTTGAGGTATCCTAGAATAGATTCAGTGGATCTCTACTTGGAATCTCGTGGTCCAAGGTTTCCTTTCTGTTTGGTTCAAGAAGCTGCGTGTTTGGACTCATTGGCAAGTTGGTTTACCCATCCGGCTGATGAAAGAATACATCGACTCTAGAACCGTGCTGCCGTCACTGCAGCATGCCATGCCGAGCGCTCGCGCTCCGCTCCTCAGCCTTCGCTCCAGGTGGCAACGAGGATTTGATCTGGGTGAAGTGTCCCTCCTTCGACTCCGAAGGAATGGCGTCCTCCTTCCGGACCATCACAGACCGCGGCAGCGCAGACCGCTTGCAGCCAGAGGTGGAGGGTGACCCCTGCGACGAGCGGATGGTGCCCATTTGGTTCGGAAGGCGAAGAGTTCCAACCAAAAGTCGAGGCAAAAGGTCTTGAAACTTGGATCGCTCACAATTGAATACTTGGGTTTGTCTTCTGTAGCCCAGAAGGAAAACAAGTCCGGTTTTCCAGAAGCAGAGACTTGGCTGGCCGATTCAAACTCATTTGTGATGATTTCTCAGGTTTCCAAGGCACTGCAAGCAGGGTGCCCAGGGTTGCCCCGTTCCGCACATGACATATTTGCTGTGTGGTGAATTTGCCACAGACAGGGACCCCATCTGAAATGATCGATCGGTCGTCGATCTTGAATTGACAGAATCGATCCTTTGATGCAGGCCCAACTTCAAGCGGGACATCTCGTCCATTGGCAAGGCGAGGCCCGACATGAACGTCCACGTCTATGTCTGCGGCAACCTGGAAACAAGAGTCGTGGATGAGGTCGTTTTACTTTTCCCCAAACAGTTTACTGCTGCGGTTCTATCTTCGAAACAAAGAGCTGGCCAGCCCTGGCCACACTGACTGGCCGCGCCCCTGAACTCTGTGGCGCTCTGTGACCGGGTCTTGTCCTCCTCTTGTCGTCTCATGTCCTGCTCTTGTGGCCGAACCATTAGCGATGCCGATGCCAACGCAAATCATTGATAAAGCAGTTTGCTCTTGGGGTGGAAGGTAGGGCGTACCAAGAAACCGTTTTTGACTAATATTGGTCCAAGCGAATCGTTTTGAAGCTGTTTGGGGTCTATGCTGGTATAATTTGTTTCACATTTCCTATGGAAAGTCCAAAGGACACATCAATTTTATGTCGGAGGTTCAGCTGGATGAGGTGTTCTTTTTCCGTTGGAGATCCACAACAAGACAACGATATCATCTTCCATTCACATATCATCGTCCTAGGCTTTCCAAATCCAAGGCAACGATGACTTGGTCCGGGGCTTGCAGTCCATCTGCGACAGCTGTGCTCAGGAGACGTCTCCTGAGCTGTGGTTCTCCAGATTTTGGCACGGCTGGGAGGTGCTCCATGCCCCGAAAAACCTCCCAATGGCCCAGATTTTGCATCCAAGCCCAGAAGTGGTTGGTTGGTTTATCATGTCGGTCAGTTCATACATTGGCCTCCCATACAGTCTTGATGAGTCTCGCAGTCGAGCAGTTGCTGGGGCCTGGCCAGACATGTGCCCCGCAGGTTTTTGGTCAAAGTGACCCACCAATGAGCAGTTTACTGGAGCGTGTTTGTCTACTGGCCAGACCTTTCCTACATTGGGGTAGTTTCGGAGGTGGATACAGGCCTATAGGCATATTTCGCGGAGTGTTTGGACCGCCCAAACTGGGTGAATTGTTGATGGAACAAAGATGTGGTTCACTGGCACAGGAGGCTTTGGCGAGAAGCCGCACAAGGAAGGGACCGCTGCAGACTCCGGGAGTGCAGTTGAGGGGGAACTCATGCGAAAGTTCCAACTGAAAGAACATCGAGAAGCCTGAGTCCCCTTTTCTAGTAGGACCCGGAACTTGCAGGTGTGTCTTCAAAGGGTCATGGTTTCTAACTTCGGGTCTATAGTCTATGGGTAGTAGTCAGCAAATAAAGAGGTCGGTTTAATGAATCGGGAGGAGATGAGGAGAGCTATGGGTGAAGGTTTTGAACTTGCTTCTTTTTTTTCATGAACAATGCGAGTGGCTTTCTTTCAAAAGCCCGCAAAACACGCCTAAGGAAATACGTGGTACACTATGAGAGGTTCGGGTGAGAGTGAGAGCTCACTGATATGGACCTCCAGATTGACAACAGATCAAAGATCCCATCTCACGTTGAGAACACGTGGGACGTGATGAATTCGTTTGAAGGGAGTCTTGAGAATGGCATCCCCAAAGGTGGTGCCCTTGAACAGTTTGGCTTGATGGTACAAAATTGACCTGACAGATGCTTGAAATTGATGGTTCTGAGACACCCAAAGGATACAGAGTCCTGTACAGCTTATTTTTATCCCCGTTCTGGTCTCTTCTCCATTCTGTCGCAGACTACGGCAATGGTGGCTTGCTCGATAGCTCGTTGCCATGAGACGAGCTTCAGAAGGAAGCTGCAGATGTAAAGGGCTGAGCAGCCTGTGCCAGGGAGAGGATTGGGTGAGGAGCCTGAAATAGCAGGATGCTCCCCAACCGGAGCGTGGAAATTTTGAGCTCCACGATCGGATTCGAACGAAGACCGTCCGACGAGCGACACTTTGAGGGACGACTGAATCCTGTCTAGCCTGCCCTGTCGAGCGGCGGCCGAGTTCTGGTAGGGACCTCGGTGCCTTCGACGGATTTGGACCACCGAACCGAGATGCGAATGCATCACAAAAAGGACGCTTACGTTCAAAGCAAGGTCATGCAGCCTGTAGGCCTGTAGGTAAGAGCCATGAGTAATGAACCGCCCAAGACAGTAGACTTGTTGGGCGAGCTTTCAGTACGTACCCCCAGCCCTTCTGCACTCGTTGGCAGGCAGATGTTGCACTAGATGACGCGCACGGCCCTGCGCGGTTCTACTATGACATGACCCTCTACACAGGAGCAGAGCCCGCATGGCCACGCAGTGGGGGTGCTGTCTTTTGTTTTCCACAAAAGATGGATAAGACTTGCAGACCCCCACTGCGTGGTCGGGTCATCCTTTGAGTATACCCAAGATGTGTCTGGCACTCTGTCCAGGCATTCCGATGTCCTCGTTTGAAGGTAGCGGCGTAGAAAGGGACGCTTGAGATCAGAAAGGTGGGACACATGCAAGTTACGTGGAAAGTACATGGAAGTACCTTTGACCCACCGGCTCGACCCTTCCAAAGGCTCGCAGTCTTCCACCGAACTCGCCGAACATCGCAGGAACGCACAAGTATGGTGGCCCCACCATGGTGGGGAATGGCATTGTGGAGGGAGCTCCCGTGGATTTCCAGGAGAGAATACGCTTTTGAGTCGTGAAAGGGGATGGCAAGATGGCGAGATCTTGAAAGAGCTTCTGTCACCTACAAGCTGACTTTACGTCCAGCGTATGTACCTTCTGTGGCCTCGTGAGCAACCTGGCACCCTAAAAACGGGGGAGGATCTCCTTCCAATTCCTCAGATTTCTTCCAAAACCATCCAGCCAAAACAGGTTCCTGAACCACTCTCTCAGCCTAGTTCACTTGGTTTACCTCGAACCGTGTCACGTAGCGACCGACCGTTCTTCCGCGACCCTTCTTCCCCGCGCGAGGAGCACGTGAACCGCGACCGCGAGGGCGAAGTGGCCCAGACCGCCGAGCGCCGGCGCCGGGCGCTCCTGGCGGACGGGGAGGACCGGGGTCCTCCGGTCCTCCGGGGTCGGTCGTGGAGACGGGGACGAGCCCGGAGGAAGTGATCTGTGGCCGTTTCTTCCACGGTTTTTCTTGGTTTTCCCGGCTGTGAAATTGGTGTGTTTGAGTCTTGTTTAGGAGGTGGTCACCCCATCAAGATTTCCCATGTTTCGGACATTTTGGTCGGGGAAGCTTGGGAGAGGTGAGCTAGCCGGTGAGAAGTAAATGCAACATGGAAGGCCTAGCGGGCCTAGTGCTTGGTTTGGAGATGTTTATGAGGTGGATCACCACGCCGATCTTAGTGTAGGTCCTGACTTGGTTGTCTGAAGGGAAGCCATGTGCGGCAAACCGTTGGCGCTTCCAAGGAGATATGAAGCGAGTCCAGGAAATTCAGATGTGTAAGCGGTCCAAACTGTGATCAGCAAGCACCAACATGCTCGCTTGAAGTGGTTTTTCAGGAGGTCTTTAGGCCTTTCTAAAAGCACAGCACCAGCCGGGTCGCTGCCGGGGTCGCCTGGCTGTGCGGGTGGGACATTCAATGCAGAAGTCCACCTGCACGGTCCAAGCCTTTTGGGTCTGACCTGGGTGACGGCGAAGGACATGCCACGACTTTTGGGCAAGCCCCGGTCCCCTGGACCTGGACGGCGTGAGAGCAAGGCGAGGCTGAGGTGAATGTGTCTTTGAGCAGACGGTTGGTTGTTGGTTCTTTTTTTTTGTTTGTTTTTTCCATGTTGTTTGTTTTGTTCTTTCATTTGGACCTTCAGACTCACTTTTCCTTTCCTTTCCCTTCCTTCTTTCTCAGAACATGTGAGCCAATACTGTTTATACAAGTCATCAAAAAGTCGTTTGGTGGAGGTGCTACCTGCCTGGCTCTTTCTTTAGAGCACTCTGCTATCTCAAAGGCTGCTGTCTCAAAGTCGCTGCCTGTCAGATGGGCGGCTAGATTCCCACCCCGGTCTTTCTTGCTGATTGCTGGTTACATACCCAAGCATCTGGGCCTATGTACTATGAAGCCTTAAGGCACAACTTCCAAGTCTTAAGTACAGCTGCTCAAAGCACAGGTTTCCACAACAACCCCCACACCTTCAGAGAAGTTCCAACCAACAACCCCAAGCAAACTTCCATCCAACCTTTTCAGACTGGTTTCTCTCAACCTCCCCTGACCTGCCAGGTCCGAAGACCTGTCAGCAGCTTGAAGGGCCCCGAGCGCTTCTTCTATGACAAGACCAGCTACACCGGTTCCCGGAGCCGTTTTATATTCTTATTTTCTTTTCGGTTTTGGTGTGGGGCAGGGTAAGTCGTTGGTCCGGAGGCATCTTCCTAAAAACATTTGTCCGAAAGGACAAGTGGTGTGAGCGTCAAGATGACTTGATAGTTTGGGACAGAGACGCAAATGTTCGGCAAGTCATTCAGCTGGCATAGTTATTTCAGGTGAAAGAGTCAAATTCTTTGTTCTCTCATCAGCCAGGGGGGGCAACCTTCTGTGCCTGCAATCGAATTATAGTAAGGGCTCCGCCCTGGTGCCGCCGACCCCTTTTCTTGGGGGAGGAGCTGGAAGACCAGAAGCCGGACAGGGATTGCTATAACCATACACCGGCTATGTCCTCAAGACTCTGTATTCTTGATTCCTTTTACCGGTGCTTATGCTACACTACGGATGCGCTAGTGTATGCACAGTCCTTGTCACGAAAGCTAGCATGCTAGCTGACTTCTTCGTTGCTTTAGCAATTGGTAGTGGGATGAGCTGTGTGCCTCAAACCTTGAGATATCACACTGGTGGTGCCTGCTGCCGGTGGTGCTGCTGCTGCTGCTGCTGCTGCGGCTTGATGCTGCGCTGCTGCTGCGTGGTGCTGCTGGCTGGCTGCCGGTTGGCGGTTGGTGCTGGCTGCTGGCTGCAGGCGGCTGCTGCTGCTGCTGCTGCTGCTGCTGCTGGCCGCTGCTTGCTGCATAGGACTTGTACTTCACCGTTACAAGTTGTTCACCCCTAGTTCTAACCTAATGCACGCAGAAGCGGGTGGCAAATTTACCCCCCAGGCTTGCTATAACCATACACCGGCTATTTCCTCAAGACACTCTATTCTTGATACCTTTTACCAGTGCTTATCCTACACTACGGACGCCCTAGTGTATGCACAGTCCTTGTGATGCTTACCCCTCGTTCCGGCTGAAGGCATAGATAAGCGCGGGGTAAATTGACCCCCCAGATTTGCCATAACCATAAGCCGGCTATTTCCTCAAGCTGGAATGGACGAGAGCTGGAGTGTGACAACGGAAGCTGTCAGCAATTGTGGGCCAAAAAGGCGACACCAAGTGCTATCCGGCAGTCTGAGTGCGGCGTCTGCCGTCAGGAACGGCAGTCCAAGATACGAGTTATCGACCACCAGGCAGGGACGCCTGCACAGTTTGCGACAGCAAAAGCAATCTTTGCCACAAACGCGGTCAAATACCACGTGAACAAGCTTCGTGCGCAGGCATGGGCGGCCGCTGCCGGGAAGCAACTGCACTACGCCATTGCAAAAGATAGGATCTCCAGTGCCGCGTTACGTGAGAAACCCGACGCAAGCAAAGAAAAGCTCAGGTGGCTACAACGGCGTGATCAAGATTGTGGGTCTTTGTATGGCATCTTGCCACTGTGCGTGGGAATGCCCGTGGTAGCAACAGATCATCTCGACAGGGATCGTGGAATTTTGCGGGGGTGTCCAGGGAAAGTTATTGGATGGGTCTGGCAACAGCCTTCGGAAACTAAGAACAACCAAGAAAGAACACACATTTGGAATGAGCTTCCTGGCTGCATTTTGGTGCAGTTCGAAACAAAAGAGACGTGGCGCGTCGACGGCATGGCCGCAGACAACGTCTTTCCGGTAGCGCCGCAAAATAAACCGTGGTATCTAGACAAAGGCCGGCGACGGCCAGTGCTGCGCGTTACGCGAAAGCAATTCCCATTAGCTCCAGGCTTCGCAGCCACAGCTCATGCGGCCCAAGGGCAAACGTACAAAGAAGGAGTTGTCATGGACATGCATACTGGCGAGGCCGGGGACCCGCTGACGGCGTACATTGCTTTGACACGGGTTCGCAACAGGTTGGGCTTGTTTGTTTTGGCCGTTTCCTGCGATGCCGTTCCAAAAAGGGCCGAAGAGAGGCAGAGAATTGCTATTGCGAAGCTGGAGCGGAGAAAAGCTCGATTGGGCAGCTCTGAGAGCCAAGTACCGGGAGGAGAGGTTTTGCAAGGAATGCCATGAAGGAAAGCCAGCGTCAGCATTCACAGCAGGGCGCTGGAAACGCACTGATGCCACCAGGGTTTGCCAGGAGTGCATCCAGCGCCACGTCAATACAGGAGAGCCGTGGCAATGCATGGCGTGTAACGCGTGGAAACAGGAAGACGCGTTCCCGGAAAAGCACGCAAGCCCGCAGTGTACATTTTATCGTGTGTGCAAGACGTGCGAAACGAC